AAATTCCATTGAAGTAATCTTTTTCGAATCCAGAGATTCTTACAGAATCCTAGAATTTTAGTTTTTCTGACAGGTTTTTCTTTTCAGATTGATTTAAATTATTATTTCTCAAGTTTTTTCTAGATCCAATATTTTTTTAATGATTATCTCAAATTTCATATTAATATCATCCTTTAATTATATAAGAAATAAATCTCTATAAGATAGTTCAAGATCTCCAAATTTTTTTATTGGATTCTCTCTAGATAATTTAGATTGTTGATTAAATTCTACTAGGTTACTCTTCTGTCTCAAGTTATCCTCCAATTCTTCCTCTTGGGGTTGAGGAAACAGTGAAGGTGGTCTTTCTATAGTTACCTTGGTTGATGAAATAGGTTTTTCTAATACCTTATAAATTTCTTCCATTGGCCTTTCAATCACTTTTTTAGCTTTTCTCAACTTAACATTTATTTTAACAATTTCCTCCAATTCTATTTCACCTCATAATTGGATAGCTTTATCTTGCTCACTATTTTTCTTCTTAAGGTTTATCTCAGGGCCACTAAGTAAAATCTCTGAAGGATAACTGTTAATTAAATAAATAATCTGCCTCAGTTGGTTTTCTATATTCCTCAATGTGACCCCTTGACTCTCCAGCCGACTCTTCATTTGAATCACAACCTCTTCTAATAAGAACTCGTCTCCTCATTCTGTGGGTTGAAGTAAAATCTAAATGGTAAAGAAAGTTCATCATTAAAATTGCCCTGATTATTCCAATTACATGTCTGATTAAATTAATTATCTACCCAAAATTGGACTTGGCCTTGGTGAATATTGATTTGGTATGTGGACTTAAATTTGGTGAATTTCAGGTTTGGGGTGGACTTGAATTGGCCTAGATTTGAATTTGGATGGCTTTGGATTTGGTTTTGGAGTTTGGTGGGATTGGGTTTTAATCTAGAATTTGGTGAATTTGGGTGAATTTGGCGGAGTTGGTGGATTTGAGTGGATTTGGGTGGATTTGGGTGGATTTGGTATATTTGATGGATTTGGGTGGATTTGGTAGATTTGATGGATTTGGGTGTGTGGTGTGATGCATGTGCATTGTATGTAGTGTATGTGAGGTGGTATGCATCAATTGTGTTCACTGTATGTAGTGTAGAGCATGTGAATTCTGGATGCATGCATGAATGTGGTGTGGCATGTATATGTATATGCATGGATAGTAGGGGTAGTAAGGGTTACGTGTGGTGTTCCAAAGGGATGAAACACTAGGCTACAAAGGGTCTTTCTAAGGCATTACCAAGAACTCAATTTGAGCTTCAATACGTTGGTTCTAATTAACTCAACCAAGTGGTTGAAGATTTGGAACCACACATTTGAAACTACAAAGAGCCAAGAGATGGATTGATTTCTAATGATATGGGCTAAACCACCAGTCATCTAGGAAAGTAAAGCGAGAGACCCTGTGGCTAAATTCTATGTTCTAGAAGAGGAATCTTACCTCACTAAAAATGAGGTCAACAAACATCATTCAAGTTGATCAATCCACACTAAAACAAATACAAGAAACCTCAAACAATCTAAATCAAACAACACTGATAACCATGGGTTGTCTCCCATAAAGTGTTTGATTTAACGTCATCAACCCAAGAAATGATTCCTCCTTGATTAAAATTCCATTTAAGTAATCTTTTTTCGAATCCAGAGATTCTTACAGATCCTAGAATTTTAGTTTTTCTGACAGCTTTTTCTTTTCATATTGATTTAAATTATTATTTCTCAATATTTTTCTAGATCCAATATTTTTTTAATGATTATCTCAAATTTCATATTAATTTCCTCCTTTAATTATATAAGAAATAAATCTCTATAAGATAGTTCAAGATCTCCAAAATTTTTTATTGGATTCTCTCTAGATAATTTAGATTGTTGATTAAATTCTACTAGGTTACTCTTCTGTCTCAAGTTATCCTCCAATTCTTCCTCTTGGGGTTGAGGAAACAGTGAAGGTGGTCTTTTTATAGTTATCTTGGTTAATGAAATAGGTTTTTCTAATACCTTATAAATTTCTTCCATTGGCCTTTCAATCACTTTTTTAGCTTTTCTCAACTTAACATTTATTTTAACAATTTCCTCCAATTCTATTTCACCTCTTAATTGGATAGCTTTATCTTGCTCACTATTTTTCTCCTTAAGGTTTATCTCAGGGCCACTAAGTAAAATCTATGAAGGATAACTGTTAATTAAATTAATAATCTGCCCCAGTTGGTTTTCTATATTCCTCAATGTGACCCCTTGACTCTACAGCCGACTCTTTATTTGAATCACAACCTCTTCTAATAATAACTCGTCTCCTCATTCTGTGGGTTGAGGTAAAATCTATATGGTAAAGAAAGTTCATCGTTAAAATTGCCCTGATTATTCCAATTACATGTCTGATTAAATTAATTATCTACCCAAAATTGGACTTGGCCTTGGTGAATATTGATTTGGTATGTGGACTTAAATTTGGTGAATTTTAGGTTTGGGGTGGACTTGAATTGGCTTAGATTTGAATTTGTTGGCTTTGGATTTGGTTTTGGAGTTTGGTGGGATTGGGTTTTAATCTAGAATTTGGTGAATTTGGCGGAGTTGGTGGATTTGAGTGGATTTGGGTGGATTTGGTGGATTTGATGGATTTGGGTGGATTTGGTAGATTTGATGGATTTGGGTGTGTGGTGTGATGCATGTGCATTGTATGTAGTGTATGTGAGGTGGTATGCATCAATTGTGTTCACTGTATGTAGTGTAGAGCATGTGAATTCTGGATGCATGCATGAATGTGGTGGGCATGTATATGTATATGCATGGATTGTAGGGGTAGTAAGGGTTACGTGTGGTGCTCCAAAGGGACGAAACACTAGGCTACAAAGGGTATTTCTAAGGCATTACCAGGAACTCAATTTGAGCTTCAATATGTTGGTTCTAAATAGCTCAACCAAGTGGTTGAAGATTTGGAACCACACATTTGAAACTACAAAGAGCTAAGAGATGGATTGATTTCTAATGATATGGGCCAAACCACTAGTCATCTAGGAAAGTAAAGCGAGAGACCCTATGGCTAGATTCTATGTTCTAGAAGAGGAATTTTACCTCACTAAAAATGAAGTCAACAGTATTCAAGTACTCCCTACCCTTATGCTTTTAAAGATTGAAAACAATCCCTCTAAATTTGAATATATCCAAATTGAAATTCCTAAAAAACCAAACTTAACATCTAAAATTTGAAATCTTAAACAAGCCAAATCAATACTTTAATCAAAAGCTTTCTCGAGGTTTACAAATCTCAAGATATAATTACTTATGAGGGTCTAACATCGTAGAAATTTCATCAAAAATCCTATAATTTTTCATACATGTAGAACTTACTTAGCGACCAATAGTGGCAGTGTCACAAGAAAAGATATTTTTATTATGTTGTATAAATGTGAATCAAAAATCCTATAATTTTTCATACATGTAGAACTTAGCGACCAATAGTGGTAGTTTCACAAGAAAAGATATTTTTATTACGTTGTATAAATGTGAACGTTTTGGCAAAATTGGATAGTCCACAAGTTAATCACCCTGATCTGACTAGAACTACCAGCAACCTAAGAGAGCAAGGGACTGCTTCTTACCGAAAGTTGGTGAATAATATCATCAGTCATATCTCCTCCCTAAAAGTCGTTGATGTAGGAGATACTATTATAATATCCCACTTATAGCAAACATAAGTAAAAATTTTCATCATCTAAATAATTAGTTCTATTTCAAGCTAATATTTTTGCCTCTCAGAGTGGTATATTCTTTTTCAAATAATGTATTTAATCATTTTGATATAAATCATTTGAGATCTGTGATGACACACAAAAAAAATTTTCCACCAGTCAGGAAGTTACTAGTGCAGTCCATGTTACTTGTGACTTTAGTGGCTAGGTTAATCTCTTGAGTTACTTATCTTCTTAATTGTGACATGATTCATGCTCATCATACCTTTTTAGAATGTGGAGCCCAAATGCTACTCTTTAACCATACCCAAGAAATAGAACATTTAGATGGAGAAAGTTTAACCATACCCAAGAAATAGAACATTTAGATGGAGCAGGTACAAGAAGAGAGAGAGAGAGAGAGAGAGCAGTTGAGTTATGACAAGGAGCAAGAAGAAGGAGATTTAGGGAATATATTCCACAAGTTATTTAAGAAGGAGGGTTCCGAAACCTATTTACATTTTATATCCCTGGAGTATATAAGTGTCTAACTAAGTCATATCCCCCAGTCTCTCTCAATCAGTCGCTCGTAAACGACCTCCTAGGTCAACTTTTAGCAGTTGGCCTCCTGAATCAGCTTCTTTCGTCCAAGCTTCTATAGTTGCCTTCTCGTGGACAATGGTCTATAGTTCACCTCTAGTTGTTGCCGATGATGATTGATCTCTTGTGGTCACCCATTGTAGTTGGCCTCTGGTGCAGATTTTTCCCCTATTGTTTCCCAGTTTCTTCATCTCTCATCGTTTTGAACAATCTTGTGGTCCTCTTCAACTTGTCGGTCCTATTGACTTTCCTGCTGGGGAGCGGAATATTTCAGTCTCTGTCGGTTTGAGAGAGGGTGATCGGGAAAGAGGGAAAGGTAAGCTGTAATAATTTAGTAACTTATTTTAGGAGCGATTTAAACTGTTGCAAAAAAAACGATTTAAATCTTACTGTTTTGCTAAGCAGCTGTGTTAGTTAAGCTTTATATTAAAATTTCTCCGAGTCCGTTAGCCGCAGACTTTTGAAGGCTTTTTCCGAAGACTTAGGCCCTCACTGGGACAAATGTGGACCCAATACAACTATTATCAAATCATCATCTGCCAAGTTTCACACTGGAAACTTTGCCAGCTGCACCTACGCGAGTGATGCCACACTGAATAAGAGTACATGGTCAAATAGGTGGGGGGAAAAACCGCTGAATTTGTTCGAAAATGGAAAAAAAAAATTATAGCAGGAGGTTAAGATTTAGTGCAGTAAATCTTAAATCTTGTAAAAGGAAAGCAGGAATTGACGGTTGATGAATGAAGCAATCAGTCCCCTTCTCTACTAGATTCAAGGCATGAAACAAAAGTCCCTGCCAAACCCTCCAAATCCATGCCCAGTCACTCTCAATATTCATTGCTCCTTCCCCACTTTTCTTCTCCAATCCCAATCCTCTTTTCCCAATTCAGTTCACCAGCCATCATCCATGGCTTCCACTCTCTCTTTCACTCTGAGATTCCTCATACCCCGAACACAAATCTACTAATCTTACTGCTACCCAGAAAGAGAAACAGGCAGGACAGCTTTGTTTCCAGTTGAAAAAAAGAGAGACAGTAGTAATTAGTCTCAGGTGGTTGGCATCTTCTTCCTCGCTCTCCTTCCCTTTTCTCCGAAAGCCAACCCCATTCGCATCACTTACCTTCCAACTAAAAAACCCTTCTTTCCCCCACAAATAAACCTAAAATCGCTCCTTTTCGCGTTATTTTGCTAGTTTTTTCTTCTTCGATGGATTCCCACGGTTCTTCCGAGCTCCAACACGAGCACCCCAAGTTTCTCCAGAACCAAGACAAGGCGGAAACGCAGAGAGAGCTCCAAATGGTGATCTCCACCTCTGAGAGGGAACTCCCTCTTGTATCATCTGCTACAGAGGAGAAAGACGATCAAAAGAAGCAGCTTGCTCCAAAGAGAAGCTCTAACAAGGATCGGCACACCAAAGTCGACGGCCGCGGCCGAAGAATCCGCATGCCGGCCCTCTGCGCTGCTCGAATCTTCCAGCTTACTCGAGAGCTCGGTCACAAATCCGACGGCGAGACGATCCAGTGGCTTCTTCAGCAAGCTGAGCCCTCCATCATTGCTGCAACGGGCTCAGGGACCATCCCAGCCTCAGCCCTTGCTGCAGCTGCTGCAGCTGCCCCCTCTTCCATCTCCCACCCCTCCACCGCAGCTGCTGGTCTTCACCCCATGCTGAACGACCCACCTCCTTCCACCTCTGCTGCAGCTTCAAGACCCAATTGGGCAACCGGCTTATGGCCACCAGCTGTTCCTGTGTTTGGTAGCCATGGATTTCTCCCCACCAACAATCTTGGTGGAAGCAGTGAAGGGCCTGCGGGAGGAGGGTTTATGCAGAGAATTGGGTTGCCGGGGCTAGAGCTACCTGGGGCCAATCTCGGCCAAATGAGCTTTGCTTCATTGCTCAGTGGCCATGGACAGCAGATCCCAGGACTCGAGCTAGGTCTGTCCCAAGATGGCCACATTGGTGTTTTGAACCCTCATTCGCTGGGTCAGTTTTATCTGCAGATGGGACAGGGACGAGGGGGAGGAAATGATGAGCAGCAATTGCAGAATCAACATCACCAGCATCAGCAGCAGAGCCAGGGATCTCTGAACAAGGATGATTCTGATGGATCAACTCAGTAGCTGGCTAATTCCATCATTGATCTATATTTGTTTTGCTCTAAATGTTATTTTGTCCAGAAAATGGAGGAAGGAAGCTAGAGAATAATTTGTTGTTAATGGCATTGATTGCTTCTCCTTACTCCAGTTCTATTTATGGAGATTATTCATCTCATCTGGTTAAATTTTTTTTTTTCAAAAATTTGATATGTGGTGCTTAGGCATGGAAAAAGTCTGTATGCAATTCTTCTGTCGCACTTAATTCTGTGCAGGTTTTGGTGGAATTTAGCTGAATGGCTTGCAATGGAGCTATGTATATCCTGTTTACTATTGAGGTTTGTAGATATTTTGTTTAGGCTATCTTCAATGATTTCTTTTGCTTTTCAGGTATTGATGTGTTTGAATTGCCTTGTTCTATCTGAACAATAAATTATTCCATGTCATATTATTATATTTTAGCTTTATAGAGTGATGTCTGCTCTTATATATTTCCTTAAGATTTGTTGATAATTAAAGCTGCAGAGGCTTTATTTTTTATTTTATTTTTTTTTTTTTGCGTATTAAAACTTCTAGTTCTGAAGCTTTATTAGCTTTACTTCAAAGTTTTATGCTGATTATAAGTAGATGTTTGAATCACAATTGCAAGGTAACTGCTCTTTCAATATTTGTTTCTACATTGTAAAATGTATTTGTTTTGAGTGTTTGAAGCCGTTTTTTGGACTCTGTTTTGTGTTTGTTCTGCAAAATGTTAATTATAGTGCTTTTCTAGGTTTAAAACTCAACTTCATAAAAGGCATTATTGCAGTTTACATCAATTTAATAGTATAATAACAAAAAGTTAGAGGTAGGTTGTGCTTGAATACTAAGAGCTTAATTCATTCAAATAATCTGGTTTGTTATTATTTTATATACGAAACTCACTTTCCTTCTTCTTCCAAACGCTCACATTCAAATAATCTGGTTCTAAATGCATAAGGTCATAGAGATCTCAACAATGGTTGTTATTATTTTTGTAATATTGAAAAATAACTTGTGTTAAAGTTGTTGTTAAGGCTATGATCATCCTTGATGCTTATTTGATGACATGTAGTTATATGTTAGCTCACATGATCTTATGATAATCAACTTATTTTCCAAATTAACAACTCTCACTTTATGTCTTGACATTTATTTTCTTTACAGAAAAGCTTAATCTGAAGATAAATCACATAGCTTGGAATCATAATAGATGAAAAGCAATTGTAATTTATAATATTCTATATATGTTGCACTAAAAAAAACACTTATTCAGATTAATAGACATGTTTATATGTGAGAGAATGACAAGGTTACCTTCGACTGAAAGATGCTGCTATAATAGAGGCAATTAACAAAACAAAACAAAAAAAAAAGAGTAAACAACTAAAAGGTGGAGAATTCCGTGCAATTTTTGTTTCTTATTATTTTGTTTCCCCTTCAACCCTATAGTGTTTCAATTTTATTCTTACACATTGGCAGAAATTTCAGTAAAATGGTTAGCTAAAACCTATTGGAATTAATTAATCAAAGCATGAAGAATAATAATAAAAATCGTCGTTGTCGTTAGAATTATCCCAGCTACTTGGTGCTACTTGACAGGTAAATCATTTTAATACAAAATAAGAGATGTTAAATTTGAGGTCTAAAAGTAAAGGATTATGATTATACAAACTTGAGTCTCAAACTATTGTTGATGTTATTGCCTATTTTCTTCTTCAGGAAATCCAAGAATAGAAAGTTGCATCAATAGTTTAGAAAACATTTAATGAGCTACATATTGAGTATAAGATCATGGATCTCCATCTAGTGGATGTAATATTTATGCAAAAAAGGATTATTTTTTGAAGAATTCTTTTAGGTAATCAAAAGAAACAACAAGTCCGGCTGTATTTTCTTAGACAAAATTTGATTAGATTCGTATATGTAGAAGTGAATAAAAATCCTTAGAATCTAAGATATTCGAGCTGATCTTAGAAGGGTGTATATGTGGGTTTTTGGTCCAATAGAACCACATTAAATTTTCATGTTTTTTAACTGAATTCATAATTAGGAGTATTGTTTCAAGGAAGTAAAACGTACAAACATCAAATTGCATTGACAGAAGAAAATTTGACATAGTTATGCAGTTGTGCCTATGTAAATTCCCCTTCAAACTAAATCAATTTGTTAAGTTGAGCATGATAATGTAATAAAGCTGTAATTCACCATTTAATGTTCCCTGTTTGTTTGGGTTCCTTCATTCTTTATGGTTTTGAGGTTATTTTCTTCATTACCATATTTGATTTACCTGGAGTCCATAGTCCTAGGCATAATTTAAATTGCTTATCTTTCCAAAACTATAGAGGGTTGGCTTCAGAAATCTTCATTTTCAATTTATCAATTTATGTGTTTTGTATTTTATGTGTGCTGTGTTTAAACAATCCTAAAAAAGATATCAAATTCTTATTAGAGAAATGAATCAGTCCTAATGATATGAGACAGAAGTTTGTTCTCAATGAATTCCTGGAAGAAATGGTTTACAAAAATTTTGGTTAAACTTGTAGTAGCTAGCTTTAAGGCTAATTCAACCCGAAATTAAACAAAAAACTATTACAAAAATTGGATATCATAGAAAATGCTAAAAAAATCTCATGTGATTTCACCATGCTCACACAACCTTTATAAGTAGGGCTGTCAAAAAAAGCTCATTGTCGTGAGTAGCTCGTGTTCGGCTCGTTAAGTCGCTCGAACGAGCCGAACACGACACAACCTTTATAAGTAGGGCTGTCAAAAAAAGCTCGTTGTCGTGAGTAGCTCGTGTTCGGCTCGTTAAGTAGCTCGAACGAACCGAACACGAAAAAGTTTTTAAAGCTCAAGTCATAAACGAGCCGAGCACGAACAGATCTTTGTTCGCTCGTGTTCGGCTCACTTTAGCTTGAAATAAAAAAAAAAATTATATTACTATTTATATAGTAATATATTACATATATTATTTATATTTATAGCTAAGCTTAAATCATAACATCTCATATGTTAATGAATCTGGTTCTAAATGCATAAGGTCATAGAGATCTCAACAATGGTTGTTATTATTTTTGTAATATTGAAAAATAACTTGTGTTAAAGTTGTTGTTAAGGCTATGATCATCCTTGATGCTTATTTGATGACATGTAGTTATATGTTAGCTCACATGATCTTATGATAATCAACTTATTTTCCAAATTAACAACTCTCACTTTATGTCTTGACATTTATTTTCTTTACAGAAAAGCTTAATCTGAAGATAAATCACATAGCTTGGAATCATAATAGATGAAAAGCAATTGTAATTTATAATATTCTATATATGTTGCACTAAAAAAAACACTTATTCAGATTAATAGACATGTTTATATGTGAGAGAATGACAAGGTTACCTTCGACTGAAAGATGCTGCTATAATAGAGGCAATTAACAAAACAAAACAAAAAAAAAAGAGTAAACAACTAAAAGGTGGAGAATTCCGTGCAATTTTTGTTTCTTATTATTTTGTTTCCCCTTCAACCCTATAGTGTTTCAATTTTATTCTTACACATTGGCAGAAATTTCAGTAAAATGGTTAGCTAAAACCTATTGGAATTAATTAATCAAAGCATGAAGAATAATAATAAAAATCGTCGTTGTCGTTAGAATTATCCCAGCTACTTGGTGCTACTTGACAGGTAAATCATTTTAATACAAAATAAGAGATGTTAAATTTGAGGTCTAAAAGTAAAGGATTATGATTATACAAACTTGAGTCTCAAACTATTGTTGATGTTATTGCCTATTTTCTTCTTCAGGAAATCCAAGAATAGAAAGTTGCATCAATAGTTTAGAAAACATTTAATGAGCTACATATTGAGTATAAGATCATGGATCTCCATCTAGTGGATGTAATATTTATGCAAAAAAGGATTATTTTTTGAAGAATTCTTTTAGGTAATCAAAAGAAACAACAAGTCCGGCTGTATTTTCTTAGACAAAATTTGATTAGATTCGTATATGTAGAAGTGAATAAAAATCCTTAGAATCTAAGATATTCGAGCTGATCTTAGAAGGGTGTATATGTGGGTTTTTGGTCCAATAGAACCACATTAAATTTTCATGTTTTTTAACTGAATTCATAATTAGGAGTATTGTTTCAAGGAAGTAAAACGTACAAACATCAAATTGCATTGACAGAAGAAAATTTGACATAGTTATGCAGTTGTGCCTATGTAAATTCCCCTTCAAACTAAATCAATTTGTTAAGTTGAGCATGATAATGTAATAAAGCTGTAATTCACCATTTAATGTTCCCTGTTTGTTTGGGTTCCTTCATTCTTTATGGTTTTGAGGTTATTTTCTTCATTACCATATTTGATTTACCTGGAGTCCATAGTCCTAGGCATAATTTAAATTGCTTATCTTTCCAAAACTATAGAGGGTTGGCTTCAGAAATCTTCATTTTCAATTTATCAATTTATGTGTTTTGTATTTTATGTGTGCTGTGTTTAAACAATCCTAAAAAAGATATCAAATTCTTATTAGAGAAATGAATCAGTCCTAATGATATGAGACAGAAGTTTGTTCTCAATGAATTCCTGGAAGAAATGGTTTACAAAAATTTTGGTTAAACTTGTAGTAGCTAGCTTTAAGGCTAATTCAACCCGAAATTAAACAAAAAACTATTACAAAAATTGGATATCATAGAAAATGCTAAAAAAATCTCATGTGATTTCACCATGCTCACACAACCTTTATAAGTAGGGCTGTCAAAAAAAGCTCATTGTCGTGAGTAGCTCGTGTTCGGCTCGTTAAGTCGCTCGAACGAGCCGAACACGAAAAAGTTTTTAAAGCTCAAATTATAAACGAGCCGAGCACGAACAGATCTTTGTTCGCTCGTGTTTGGCTCACTTTAGCTTGAAATAAAAAAAAAATTATATTACTATTTATATAGTAATATATTACATATATTATTTATATTTATAGCTAAGCTTAAATCATAACATCTCATATGTTAATGTGGTTAGTGTCTTATCTTTTATACATTTGGTCCAGGTTTGATTTCTATACTTTACATTGTGGTTAGTGTCTTATCTTTTATACATTTGGTCCAGATTTGATTTCTATACTTTACATTTATTTTTTTTAATTTAATTTTAACGAGCCGAACACGAACGCACTTCAAGAGCCGATAACACGTGACGATCAAGATTACTATTACAATTATTGACTATTTCAAATTTATAAGAAATGAATAGATTGAACTTATAATAGCTAGCTTTGTAATAGCTGAGTTTGTCATAATGTTAGCTTATAGTCAGAAGATGTGGGGGTTCGTAGCAAATAATATGATGAAGCTAGGCTTGTGTATAATATAACCTCCAAGTTCAAACAAGATAGATTTTAAATAAACAACTATGATTGTCAAATATGGACAACTAAAGTGCTACTATTATATAGTTTTATAAATTTATAACCAAACAATATCAACATCAACCCCCTCTGAATATCTAATTCTTTTCATGCATATATATATTAATAAGTTGGAGTTAATTTTCTCATTCTCAATATAATTTTGCCCATTTACTCTGTCTGCAAACAAACAGGGGCGAGCCAGCGAAAAGATTTTTGCTTTATTTGTCTAAATTGCTTAGATTTTCTCTCTCTGTTGTGTTTATAAAGTAATTAAATCCTTGTACGATATGGGACTAAAAGCCTTCACAACTTATCCTCACAACTTATCCATTCGCAATCCTTCTATTTTAGGGACATTTTCATACATAACACTTAATTTCATTGTACAAACTCAACACCTAAACTTTCATTTTTATATGTATACCTCTAAAATCATTCATATCACATAAAAAAAAAATGCCACAATTTTAATTTTTCAAATGTGAAAAACACATTTGCATGCATAAGAAAGGTGTTATATGTAAAAAAACTAAATTTTAGGTGTTAGATATGTAAATATATTGTATGCAAGTAAATCTTTGACAGTCAAAAAGATCACCATTTTGCTGCCATGGTATTGTTGCTTTGTTAAGAAAAAAAACTTTGGTTTTGCAAACTCACAATATATAGTTATATTAAAAAATTCTCTGCTATGAAGGTCTTGGAATGCTTC